TGTGTGTGTGTGTGTGTGTGTATGTATTATGTTGTTTAGTAGAGAGTGAGCAGAGCTGAGGGAGGAATGAAACGATACACTCACCCCAAAAGCGGGTAGGAGACAAAAAGCACTCAAGAGCACTGCTGTTTGTGTACATTTTTAATTACTTCACACGTATCATCCTCGGAGGAAACCCAGCCAGTCCAATGGGAAGAAAGGGGAAATAAGCGTGAAAGAAAACCTGATTTATCCTGAATTACGTCCCTTAATCCGATTCCGTGGCACTTTCAATGAACGGGAATTGTCGGTGAGTGATTACTCCCCCTTGAGTGATAATCTGCCCAAGACGACGGACGTCATCAGTGACAGCAGAAAGGGGCGGGGAGGGGAGGTTAATCCATCTCCAGTTTCCACAGGCTATGTTCCGAAAATAAGCAGTTGGTAACACGTCTGGCTGATATTGTGTGAGTATTGAGACTAAAAGTAAATTTTGACCCTCCATCTTAAACAAAGTAGTTAACAGCGTCTTCCCTTCACGACGTTACTGCGATCCAAACATGGTCCCAGAAAGATGCGTTTTGTTTTAGTAAGAGTTTTATGACACTTGCAACACTATTGGATCACATAAGTGCCGTAGATTAGAAGTGGTACAAGGGAATAACAAACTTTTAAAAAAGGAGGAGAGATTAGGACGATAGATGTTTGATAGGAGCAAACCATACCAGAGCATCCACCAACCACCCACCCACAAAGAGCGAAGAAACCGGATCACTGTGAACTGAATTAAAAGCTGAATCGAAAAAGTGGCTTTTGGTGAGGGAGGTCTCCATCTCAGGTTTCTAGTAGCGAAATTTTTCCTGTGTGTTGAGACACAAAGAGTTACAAAGCCATCAATGCAAAACTGAGAACCAGAGTGACACCGATGCCAAACAAAGGATGCTCTCGTCAATATAATAAAATCGAAGAAAACAGCAGTTTTCTCTCTGCTTAGCAATTTTTATCAAATGTGAAGTGTGCTGACAAAATGAGTTACTGCTCGGATTCAAGCCTTATGGAAATAGAAACATCATGCTTATAAGCGAAGTTTTACAATTTATAAGTATGAAATAATAAGAGGCATGTTATACATAAAAGTAGAGCATCAATAGAAGAACTACTAATTTGACCTCGGTGTTGATTTTTTGCCAATATCTCCTTCTGTGGACTGCGAGAAGTAACTCATTTTGTCAGCACGCCACACAAATTTTTATTTTGGCACAACACCTTTTATGTCTATTTACAAACACATTCCTTTGAGGCTTTCACCGAAAACGTTGATTAAAAGCACAAAACTATAAATTTACAGTTTCCCTGGACTCTCCAGCTTTGGAGTTAACCCCGCTTTGGCGGCCATTTTCTCGCTAATTTTACCTCTTAAACCAGGTGACCCCCACCTCCTTCAATCCAAAATATCTCCACTTCTATAGAAGATGGATGGGTAATGTTTTCATTGAAAGCAAGACAAATGAACAAGCTTTAAGATGATACCAATATCTCAATATGCCCCAAAATTGACGAGAGCCTGATTCCACCACGCTGCCTCACATATGCTGTTAGAGAATGCCTCGAAACCTCTCTCAACAGCGACAAACCTTCTGTCAGAATGCGAAAATGAAAATGTTCAACCCTATCCGTACGTGTGTTTTACTATCGTATACATACGACGTGGGGAACTCTGTGCCACCACTTTCCAAAATGGAAATTTACTCGTTAATCCGATCCGTACGCTTTGCATAGCAGTATGTCAAAATGATTTTTTGAGAAATACTGAAATTTTCAAAGAGATCTTCGCACTAGAAGTATTCTAAAAAGTGAAGAATACAACCCCGGGGGTACAACAAAACGATCCCAGGGCGTACAGACAGGTTTAATACCCCTTTTCTGCCTACTTCCAGGTCTATGCAAGAGTGTGTGTTACTTTTTTCTTCCTACTTCTTGTATATTCTGAGAAATGAATAAGATCAATGGGCACTCTCAGAATGGCGGCAAGCTTCATGGACAGATTCCCTTGAACGAACACCGTTACAGCCGCAGCGCTATTCTGTTGTCCCAAATTATCATCAAACATTATTATCAATCGGGTTTTTTTTTTAAGTTGAAAATAACTGAAATCGAGAAGCGGGAAGATGGGAACGGATCACTATAACATTAATAATAAAATTAGCTGTTCTAACAATTACCGGTACAAAAACTGACATTTAAGATTTTTATCAACATCACTAACAAGACAAAAACACTCAAACAAATATATGAGGCAGCGAGGTGGAATCAGGCTCTTGTCAAAATAATCAAAGTGAAGAAACTTGCATTTTTCCGCAGGTTTGTGAATTTTTATCTAATTTTTGTTTTTTTGGCACAACACCTTTCATGCCCATTGAAGAACTCATTTCTGTGTGGATTTTTCTTTAAAACGTTGATTAAAGGCACAAAAAATGTAAATTTTCAGTTACCAGGGACTCTTAAGTTAAGGAAATAACTAATCTTTGGCGGCCATTTTCTCACTAATTTTACCTCTGAAAAAAGGTTTTCCCACCTCCTTCATTCGCAAATATCTCGACTTGTATTCAAGGTAAATGGATATTTTTTCATTGAAATAAAGACAAATGAACAAGCTTTAAGATGACACCAATAACTCTACATGCCCCAAAATTGACTAGAGCCTGATTCCACCTCGCTGCCTCACATATGATGGCTAAAACGGCATTTACTGCTAACACTTATAGCATTATTATCCAATTGAAATTGTCCTAGATGGACACCCTCTGTCAAGAAAAAAACGCCGTCTTGGACAGTGTCATAGCATTTTTAAAAGCACAAGGGTGGAGTGGGAAGTAAGTGTTTGTGCAGGTGATTGTCTTGGACAGAATAATGACTGTTAGAGCAGGTCGACTGTAGATCTATGTCTAAAAACTGCAATGTAGGTGTGTTATGCTCACATCGACACCATATACAGAAAAGTTAAAATGCAGGCTGTGTCAATTATTCCTGTCCGGAACAATTGATCGCTTTTAAGCACAAGGGGGCTGTCCCGAAAAATGCTGTTTTGAGAAAATCGAAGGTTAAGTGTTTGTCCCTTGTTCAGTTTCTTTAAAAGACAAGGAGAGTGTTCTCTATAGCCAAACAAATATCCACACCAATGGAACCAAACTTCTCCTATAGGAAGGGCAATGCCCACTTTTGGTCTAGGTCAAGATTTATGGAAACCTCCGAAACCTGGGTTAGCCCGCTTGTCCTTAAAAGCGACCAATTTAGGTGGACAGACGGATAGGATTGATAAGTTAAAAGTAAAAAAGCCGCAAAGAGAAATCGAATTGATGTCTTCTGCATGCGACGACGGAGGCGCTTAATCGCTAAACCACAGACGCCAGTAACACTATTATTATTATTGCTATAATTATTATTATTTTATTATTATTATTATTATTATTATTATTATTATTATTATTATTATTATTATTATTATTATTATTATTATTATTATTATCATTATTTTATTATTATTATTATTATTACTATTACTACTACTATTATTTTTATTTTTTATTTTTATTGTTATTAGTATTATTATTATTATTATTATTATTATTATTATTATTATTATTATTATTATTATTATTATTATTATTATTATTATGAAACCACAGTAACAATGGGCACTGAAGTGTTATGAGTAATGTTGGTAGAAGCCAAGCAGATTTACCCCCACATCCCCCCCCCCCCCCCCACCCAAACAAAAACCCCATCTATTCTTAATTGAGTAAATAAAAAACATTCTTCGCACATGACGTCACGGCAACTCACAGGGAGACCTCGATGTGCGTTGTGAGTCAAGAAGGTTCCGAATGCAGAGCTCACGTCGACTGCATAGTGTCATACGTCACTTTTCTCACACTGAGCAGTCAACATACATTTTCACCGTGACGTTATCATCAACCTTTTTTTTCTCTCTTTTACGTGTAATTGCAGGGTCCACGATGCAGTGAGGAGGTAGAACTTACGGAGGAGCAGAAAGCGGGTGAGTCTATTATCTGTGAAGACAACATTTTGTTCTTCGATATAATTTTCTTTTTTGTTGTTTTCGTTGAGAGCCCCACGAACTACAAAAGTATAAGCACCAATAGCAGTATTAAATTATCATTTTATGTTGGAAGAAAAGTAGCTCTATTGGTTTTAGTGGTTTGGTGTCATGGTAAAATAGTGGGTATGGCACTCGCCCCATAATCCACAGCAGCTGTCGAGATGTTTTAAATTTTGCTGCCGAAACCAAATGGTAATTCGAGGAATCAGAATATTAAAATGTAATTTCTTTGTGTGAATACTTAATGAGGAAACAAAAGATATGAGACAGATTTTAAGATGTAATGGATAAGCTATGAGACATGTCAAAAAATCACAAAGCAGACGTAGAAATATATAAATTAAATTACATCTTATAGACCTAAGTGGCATAACATTTATTAGTTTGGAACACGCATGAAGGTAAAGACCCCCCCCCCCCCCCGGGCAGTGAAGTTGTCTTTAGGTCATTCCCAAAGGGGGGGGGGGTATTAACCTGTTTTTAGGCCCGGTAGAATTGTAAATGGGCTGATTTATCAATGTTATGCTCATACTGTGCAGGAACAACATAGGGGAAACTGCTGTTTTTGTCTTTCCTCATCCATATCATCGTCATGTTTTCTCTTCTTCTTTTATGTTCTTGCCACTCTCTTGTGAACTGCTATTCCCGTGGTGCCTTGATAGTTGAAGCAGACTTTTTGCTGTTGAGGCTATAGAGGGGGGCAGAGTAATGTCTGATTCCCTTTTTGGACTTTTCTGTTGACATCCACCCCTTGCTCTCATATGACCTTGTGCAGTTGTGAATGCCTTAAAACCTTACTAAAACTAAAACACTAACCATTAAACAGATTTCAAAATCTAGATCTAGTGTATAATCTATGAGACATTTTAAAAAATAACAAAACAAACATAGAGTACATAAATTACATTTCTATTTCTATTTATTAGTTTGGAACACGCATAAAGGTGAAGACCTATCAAATCAGGCAATTCAACTGAGTTTGTGGCGAGCAGGATCATAAAATGCTAAAACACATCACTGCACTGAAATAGCCGTAGGATAAAAATAGATGTCTGTCCCTTTAACAGGAGGCGAAACTTTTCCAATGATGGGCGCTACTGGTACAAGAACACAGCCTCCTTCAGGAAGGAGTAGAGTCCTTTCTCTGCGCTTTCTATTTTATTCTAACTGGTTCTGTGTTATACCAACCAGTGTCTGTGGAGTAATGATCAAGCTCTTCGTCTATTCGTGTTAAAGAATTGAGGTCGACTCTCTCTCTTCCTCTCTCTCTCTCTCTCTCTCTCTCTCTCTCTTTCTCTACTGGAACGCTTTCTTGCTATCAAATGTGGTAAGCCCCGAAAAGCAGGGTAGTGGCAATCCGCCTGCTAAATGTTCTGAGGTATGTCGACTAGGAAGAGAAACCATTACGATCAATCAATTTTAGCACTAAACTGCGGATCTTATGTTGAAATTTGATACGTTCATGGGAAAGAAATCATTACTCACAAAAGAATTATATTAAGGGATTCTTCCTCTCTTTCACATGTTGTTTAGGTGTACTGTAGCCCCTTCCTCGAGCGACTGTTTTAGACATGTCCTTAGTATAGTTCGTGACCACAGTCATATCAGACAGCAATAACACTGGTATTGAAGAAACAGCTGTGAGTTAATATTTCAAACAATACAGAAAAAAACGGCCAAAGGCAAAATAAATCAAAAAATTATTGTGAATACAATCATTCCTAACTCTACACTTTACCTGGGTTTTTTTTGTAGTATTCATTAGTGCATTGCAGTTGGCACTTGGCTATACCAAAGCTCTTGCACTAAATAAAGAGCTAAGATACTGGCTACTGCAAGCAGCATCTGTCTACTGAAATTCATAATGTCATGAATTCGCTCAGTAGTATGTGATTAGTACATTCCCCTTTTGACTAAGATTCAACATCAGCATAGTATTAGTTTTGGACACTTTTACTTTGTAGAATGTTGAGAACAAAGTGTATTTTGTAAAAAAAAAAAATATATATATATATATATATTTATAAACATCATTTTTGTCATCTGGGGTAAATATAATTTATGGACTCCGATCACTTGTTCTTAGGCTGGGACTTTTTTAAGAACATGGCATTGAAAACCTCCCTGTACCTGCTGCTCATTTTGTAAAAGACAAAGAGATTGACGCTCGAGTTAATCGATTCCAGTATAAAGACGAAGGAGAAACTGACATTAAAGAGGTTCGAGTATCGCCCCACAATACTGTACTCTGGTATAAGAGCCATGCACAGGAAAGTAAGAGTTCCCGGAGCGAACGTGATAATAAATACGGTTGACATGGTAACCACCATACGTACTACTTTCTTATCTCTCGCCGAAGTGACGTCATTGCTTTTTGCACTGGCTGCCACAGATTTACTGCGCCACTCTGTTTTGCGTTTTAGCTGCAGAACCAGAATCAAAGTACAGATCGAGACGAGAACAAAGGATGTGATCGGAGATACAAAGTTGTTCAAGATTAAGGTCACGGCCTCCACTTCCTCTCTGTTGTCGGTGAAGGTCAGACCGATAAGTGTCCTGTTGTAGGCCGGGTAAAAGAGCCACCTCATCCGTGACGTGTAATATACAGGTGTCACACTGGCAACCGTCAGGAAGAAAATAGTGGACAGCACGATGACAACCCGCTTTGGAGTGACCAGCGATTTGACTTTGAAGGGCAGGGTCACACACAGACAGCGTTCAAAGGTCACGAAAGCGGTGATCCAGCTGGATGTGCGGACGAAGCATACGTGAGGCCAGCCCCCTGTCAAGTACTGTACCTCGTACGGCGCGAACGGCACCGCGGGCGAGAAGGCGAAAGCCGGGTTGAAACAGATAGCCATCCAGAACAACGTCAGGAGACAGCCCAGGTCCGAGAGGGCGAGTCCGAAGAGTCCCAGATTAACCGTGTCCTTGAAGCCAAGTTTGACGAGTACTGCGATGTTTATGACGTTGGTCACTGTGCCGAAGAAGGACACCAAGCCGTACAGGCTGACAAAATTGACCAATCGGAAGACTTCCATGGCTTCTGGGCCGATGAGGCCCCCTACTGGGGGAGCAGAGGGCGTTGTTCCCGGTATCTCGGGCGTGGCGTTCGCTGTTCCAGATAACAGCGGGGAGATGTTGAAGGTGGAATCTTCCATGTGTGTAGGTGGACAGCATGAGGACGTCATAGTGTCATGGGCAGATATGTAGCTTCTCTGGATGTTTCAATTTACTGGATCGTCTATATTATAAAAACAACAAATCAATTTCTATGAGATTTTTTGTAGCATGTAATGCAAGAAAATGTGAGTCTGTGTGTGTGTGTGTGTGTGTGTGTGTATGTGTGTG